ACTGCCGTTTCCAGATCAAATTAAGTTACGAATTTTTTTTCCACAACGGGATGCTCATGAAGGAGGAACGCATGGTAGGTAAAAGGGGCAACACTTGGGGAGTACGACTGATGAACAACCTGGAACCAATTGGAATCGTAGAACTTTTGACGCGTATTTGAAGCGAAACTTCGACGTGCGCTGACCCTCTGTAGGGACCTGATTTACGTTTTGATAGTCCTTCTCTAACCCTGTTGGCCAAATTTCGGGGTTCATAGGGGTAACCGATAGCTGTGTGCATTTAGTCTGCGTTTAGCAACTCATAGTGGATGACCTCAATTGAATCAAGGGACGATGCTTGCGTGACTTCGAAGGCTAGTATCTCCTCCAGTGAAGCGATCCAACCGACTATCGACCGTTGATCGGTGAGCAGTGGCAGCATTGAACAGGTTGCTGATAATTTGAGCCGCTACACCCGCGTTTTTCCCTTGGCGTGCTTACCATTAGTAGAAGGGGATGGTACGAACTGGGTGTTGTCCATTCATTGACCGTAATGCTGCTAAAGCCCACACGCGCGCCCTTATTTACTCATGTGTTGATTATCTGAGGGATGTCCTACAAGTTTATCACTTTTGCTGCCGTGTTCACACTGTTGATACAAATTGCTGACGCTTCAAATTTTTTGTTGCAGGACTTCCTTCCAACCTAATACTTTGATATTTGTCAGACGCGCCCGCACGCGTCTGACAAGCTCCGCCCCATGCTGCCTTTTTGCAAAGAATTATGTCATCGTCTAATATATCACGGAAAAATTTGCATGCCTTATTGAACAAGTTCAGCATGGGATCTGAGTCCGACTTTTCAGTTACCATCCAATGTCCATCTTTGGCAGCCCGACACAGTGATCATAAACGCTTTGAGGATCGAGCCACGGATGACATCTTCGTTTTTGAATTATGACGGTACCGTCCGCCGACGGCAGCTGCTCTCTGTCCGAGTGCCATGCGAAGAATCAGCCGTACAGGAGGTGAGAATATTGAAGACAGTATTGTTTGAGTCCCTTCACTGAATCACCCCACTACTGCGCCTTCAGGGCTCCGCCCCTTTTACTGCTCCATTCGTTAGTCCGGGAAGCTGTTAGTCTACATAGGCCTGACCGACGCTGGCCCTGTAAGAATGCGCACTGTTCTAACGTGGGACTAGTGAGGCACACACCCTGCTCCACCAGTCCCCTGGCCTATACTCAGGTGGATTTCAGTTGTATATTTTATTCTTTCCAGGCCATGGAATGTCCAATTGAGCTGATCAGCTTCAGTAATCGTGGTGTCGATGAAATCAACTACAATATCGACCATATCGAACTGGATCGAGTGTCACGATTCACAAACAGTACCGTAATCTATGATACACTTCAGGACCATCATAATCGGACATCACATTTGGCGACAGTCTTACTTTCTATACAAAAGCCACATCATATTCTTGGAGCCATAGCTAGCGAAATGTCTAAAGATATAGAATTGCCTGAGCATAAATAAAACAGCTGCTTACCTGATTTTAGTTCATACTTGGTGATTCTACGGTGATGATAGCGTTAGTGAAGGTTTACAGTAACTCCAAACTTCCCAGATTTCCTATTTGGCGCGATATTCTGATGTACAGACCGGCAAGGGAACTCTTTATGTGGCTATTAAAGTCTAGAGGAACCAATCAATATCTATGTATACAATTGTCTCGCTCATAATAATCACGAATTCATGCTATCATTGATGAGCTATTGGCTTAACCTCCTGACCAAATTAGGCTTATGCTTCGGGTTCGATTTGCTGTTGACTTTATCTCTCGTTTCTGTGACTGTAGCTTCGAAATACCCTTCGTAACCCTTCGAAAGATGTAAATTAGTAAATAAACAAATATTTTTCGATGAAACTGTTTCTAGTATTGACTTTTTTCTATGCTTTTCTGCTGTCTACCTTTTCGATAGATAAATATTTCTGATCATTTTGTGAGGTGATTCAATGCAGAATAGTTCATCAGTAGCGAAGAAAAAAAGAAAGCTGAAATCATTGTATGACCTTTTCTGAATTGATCATTCCAAGGTCATCAGGGCCAACAACTCTTACCAGCAAGAACACTAGGAAGACCTTTTAACCCCAAAATTTACCTTCGAGGTAAGTATATGTTCATGCATCGCGTAGAGTCTAGAAAGTCTCCACCTAATTACGTTGCCAACCGGCAGCCCAATGCAGTTAGAAGACCCCTCAAACCTTCCTAGGATGAGCCTCGAAGTGCTGAATGCTTTCAGTAAGTTGAACTAGAGGCATGTCAAACATTCAGAGGGCATTTTAAGCAGAAGGCTAAACAGTACACTACAGGATAAATTCCATGCTAGGTCTTCTTAAAACCTGGGCATGTTACATGATTTTTCACACTGCCAGGTTGTTACAGTAGGATCGCTTCACTAGGTCGGCGTTTCAATGATTCGTCGTCTTCATGGACCTGAAAGTAGTCTGGAGCTTTTGATATGTGGCTTACCCCACCAAGCCCTTGAAAGCGTTAGATTAGTTGCAACAACTACAAGAAACAAAACATCCCAATCAAGAGACCAACCTTCTGCGGTTCGACAGCAATACTTTCCCATAAAAATGATTCAACAGTTTCTTGAAGAGGCTCCAGAGAAACCAGTATGAATAGTTCAGTATAGACAAGGATATAGCACGGAAGGGGACATTGTCGGATCGCTTCCATCAGACGCCACCCTAACCAACATAACAGATTGAGTCATGGATAGATTTCTCGTAGCTGGGCCCATTTTTTGGGTCGTATACTACTGTCTAATTTAGGCCATCAGCCAAACCTAGCGGCACTTGGAAGGTTGTTCAATGTTCGCGAAAATTTTTTCAGAAGATCCCAATAAAACTGCGCGAAAACCAGAACTGACAGAGAATTGGAATTTTCCCGTTTCGCTCAACATATATAGTAGTGAACATGTAGTGCCCACTCTGTTTTTTTAACGAAAAAACCCATTTAGACTGAGCTTCATGCAAAAAAAAAGCCATTGTGGTTATGCTTGGATGAAATAAACTAGGCGTTAGGGAACTGCTATGTTTCGCCCAATTTGACTACCCCCTGGAAGAACAACTTCACTTCAATTTGATACTACACTCACTTAACACTATTTATAGCAGAACTCGAGTGCGTAGCGTGTGTTGAAGCAAATGGCCTACGAATGCACTTTGTGGTGTAACCCCCTTACTGCTTATGTCAGTAATTAAAAGCATCCAACTAATCACGAATTTTGAGTAGAGCCCCATGCACATGGTGCATTCCAGCTTCGTTCCCATCGGAACTTCGGAACGAGACTCGAAACACAGCCGGCTAAGCTCAGCTGCGTTCGCCTTGGAGAGCACAACATTATATAGCACAGCAGTTTATAACCATGTTTTGGAGACAGAAAGGAAAAAAATGGGTTGCCTACATGCCGAACCCACAGAGAAGCGCTTACCCGCAATCGAGTGGGTAACTGTGTATACGAGTATTACTGCCCTACACTGATTGTAAGTGTAGCCCTCGATGGCTGAGCAATTTCAGCCTTCCATGTTTGATTGGAAACTTCTGATAGTTTTTCACCGATGGATGAGCAACGAAGTGCTGTGGCTATGGTCAATGGCCTAAGTCAGGCAGCAATGTACAACCAAATCAATCTAGTTCGAACGCTATTGAGAAAAATGATCACTTGGGAAACTTCTGTTGGCTAGGACGACGACTGATGAGGCGATGCAACACTGTTATTCCATACTAGCCGGAATGAGCTCACGTACATTGTTCTTAATGCATGGAATGAATAGTCAGCTCGACGCTGATTTACATCTTGAGATGCGCCATGCATTCGCCTTTGCTGTAGAATCAGTGAGATGATTGAATGCATCCTTGAACATTAGGAGATTACACCTGTACCTGAATAATTAGCCTGGTAGATATGGCGTTGAAGCAGGTGGCACTCTATGACACAGGCTTGGTTCGGTAAGGAATCGTGGATCAGTATCCGCCCAAACCAACCAAGCCTTCCACCCCCCGAGGTCGGTTAATTGGTACCAGACTTGTCCGGGAGTATAGAAGCATTGACTTGTACATGGGCTGGCCACCGCAAGTCATTGTATAGGCCATATACGCACCCATTACGCCACTACGATTCTGAATGGAAGTCGAGTGCGGGGGCGCATCCCTCAGGCGGGATTGATTAACGCCAAAAACTTTATCCTTCAAACTTTAACACCCTTGTCTGTCCTGAATTTTTCATCAGTCCCCGTTATGAAGACATCGCAAACCTGAAACATACAAAGTTCAGCACGGAAATCGCACATTGGCACCTCAGTACTTGTGTTAACCCTCTACTGGTGTTTCTGGATTCCCTGAAGGAAGAATGGGCACAGCACTGGACTTGGTTTAAATGTAAAACCATTCCAATGTTTGTGGGCTTCGTTAAGGACATCGCTGAACCATTTTTAGCAGACTTTCTCAGTGTTAGATAGAACATCCGCTCTGTTATGTGTTTACATTGCACTGAGGTCATCGGTTGCCAGTTTTTCAACAACTTCTTCGTCACTGACAGGCAGGAATAAAATAACTGAGAGATAACTGAAATGTGTGACACAGAAAACCCAGCAACTCTCGAGATATACACAGAGCATACCGGATTTCGAGCGCCTCCGCATCGCACTAAGCAAATACTTCACATATCTTCAAGCTCTTTCAGCTTCTCTTTGCCCAAGCACAATCCGCTGTGTCTAGAAAAATCGTCCTCAGTGTCTTGGCATTTCTTGGTTATTAGCTTGATTAGTCGGCCTTCTTATCTTCCTGAAACTCGGCTTGAAGGCTACTTATTCTCTACTTTCACTTGACGTTCCGACTTCCTTGAAAAATAGGCCCCCCGAAAATTGGGGAACTTTCGCCTACAAAAATATCCTGATATTCAAAAAACCTAATAAAACACTTTCTCCTCTTTGATGAACATTTTGGAGCATGGCGGAGATCATCGCCAGCCCTTCCTCATACCGTTCTACAAACTTTCTTCTCAAGAAATTCAAAAGGAAAATAGCTGCATGGGTAATTGAAGATGCTCGGGTCCAACCGCTCAGTGCAGTAGCCGTAAATTGTATCAAATAATATCAGTAGTTAATTAATGCACAAATACATTTCAGGTCAATCATGTCCGACGAGGAGGAGGTGTAGTGAGTTCTAAGCTTTTTCCATTTTTTTTTCAAATTTCTCTGGGATTTGTTGCCAAATGTGTCAAACTTTTCAGTTCTGAGGAAGAGGTGGAAGAAGTGGAAGAAGAAGAGGAAGAGGAACAGGAAGAGGTGGAGGAAGTGGAAGAAGAGGAGGAAGAAGAGCATCATGTCGAGTCGAAATCTGCCACGTTAGTCTATAATTAAGCTTAATTTTACTTACCGAAGTTAAATCTGTACCGCCCTACAGGAAATGGGTCAAATCCCACTTAGACCATAGAATTCTCCCATTTACTGGGTCAATTGAGGCTCTTTTAGGAACCCTGATATCTTGAGATATCCAGAGCACCTCCATCCGAAACTGGTACTGTTTGGAAGCCATTGTTTAGGATAAAAGCCCTTTCTCAAGAAACTGAAGGAACTATTCATCTCAGAAGAATATCAAAAGAATACTTATCGATGAAAATCTTTCTAATTCCACTTTAAAACTGATCGATACCGTTGCCAACGAGCAAAAAGTATTAAAAAGGACACTTCATCGACTCATTGTGAGATGGGTAAATATCGTGGGTCGTTTGTTGGGATTACAACGCGGACGGTAGAGGTAGAGACTTTCGGTGCCCCAAGACACTTTCAAAACACCCTAGGTAAAAAATAAATGATTAATAGGAGTGAATAATGGGCGAATATAATGTGGAGGTCCCCGGATTGATATCCGTCCGGAACAATCAAGCCTTCTATCTCTTTAGGGTAGGTTAATTGAAATCTACTTACTTAGGGGAAAAAAAGTGCTGGTTCTTACATTTACTAGCACCCACAAGGCTTTGTATAGGCCAAATGAGCACTTGGAAGGCATCTACAATTTTGAATGGAAGTACTGGCGCGTCACAAAAAAGGACTGGTCAACGCCAGAGGTCCTCAAAATACTCTGAATTTCCTCGTGGTGTCGGAATGGTGAGAGGAAGACGAAGCGCAACGCCTTGTTCGGATCGCCCTCATCACAGGATTGGCCGGACGCAGTAGAAGTAGGGTGGCTCCGATTGCTGACTGAAAGTAAATAAGGGCAAGATGAGTGCCGACAACTGAAACCAATGCCGAGATTTGTCACGCGACCGTCCTGTACTTACTGTAACTTAGGGATCCGACCTGTAGATCGCACAGATTGCACGAGTACACTCTGAGTTTTAAACCTTTGCCTATACAAGAACATTGAGATTCCATGACAAACCGAATGGTCAGTTTCAAAAGGGATTGATAATAGTTCGAAGATTGGTTGAACTCAAGCGATCAAATCCTCAATTCCTTCATTACAGCCGTCACGTTGAACACAACGATCACGCTGAGGACGAGGAAGGACTCAATGAAGCCGAAAAAGCCATGCTGGTGGGTAATTACATCTACTATTGGAGTTGTGTCATCCCACCAAGCTCGACGATTTTTTCATTCTAATCGGAACTGGAATGGAAAAAAATCGCTCAGCCTGGTGGGATGACAAAATGAGGAGTTGGTCGAGTCTTACAGATTGGATTGAAAATCCAAAAAAGCTGGCTATCTCGAGGCCTGTCAGGGCTAGTGTTCAAAAAATAAAAATTAATATGAAAATTTGTTTCACTCAGTTAGCGAAATTTTACAGGCAGCCAAAAGACGCCAGGAAGAGGAGGATAAGGCGAAGCTGGAAAGTTATGAAGAAAGGAGAAAGAAGGAAAGAGAGGCTGAAGAAGAGGAGTTGAGAAAATTGAAAGAGAAACAGGAACGCCGAAGGCTGGAGCGTGAGCAGGAAGAGCTGGAAATGGCGGAGAAAAGACGTAAGGATGATGAACGCCGAAAAGAGGAAGAGGTTAACCCACAGACTTCGAAGTTTATGTTGTTGAAGGCATCTCTAGTCTAATTCCTATTTTCAGGAAGCTCGTAGGGCTCGTCAAGAAGAAGAGAAGAGAAAGAAGGAAGAGGAAAGGAACAAACGTCAACAGATGAGCGCTGCTAACTTTACTGGAGGACAAGGTGGAAGGTAGGTTATTCTAAACTGAACTCATAGGCACCCATCGATTTTATTGATTTTCAACGGTATATTTCTTCTAGAAACTTCGTTATTCCAACGAGGACCGAAAAGAACGACAAATTCGGTAATATTGTCCAAGCAAAACAGGAAATGGGTATGACCAAAGAACAACAGGAAGAGGCCAAGAAGGTTGGTGATATATAAGTGGGTGAAACACTATGTCTATGCTACCAGCTGTTTCTAAAGGATATCCGGTTACAGTATTCTACCTGCTCATTGCCTCTCGGTTGACAACAGAGCAACTTTTTATTCTAAAATCATCTTGGAAGCCAACCCTTGTGTGTATAGTGATTTTGAAAGAAAGCGAAAAGCATGGCGAATCGCATAGCGGACGTAAGTGGCAAAAATCAATACTTTTCCAGGTGTTCATGATCGGTATTCGTCAATCGATTCCGGAGGCATCCTCAATTGCAGCGGAAGATCTGAAAGCAAAAATCAAGGAACTTCATCAAAGGATTTGCAAGTTGGAAACTAGCAAATACGATTTGGAGAAACGTCATGAGCGACAAGAGTATGATGTACGTCGCTTAGGGCAATTCAATCGATTTATCGATCTATCTCTTCCCTCTCACGAAATTCTTCACCTCCCCCTCAAACTAACTATTTGTTTATTTTATTCTATGCTAGGATCTCATGACGATCTCCCCTCACGGTCATCCTCTTCATCTGGGCCAACTTCATTAATGAATTTGATTGGGATGCAAGCTCTTTTGTCACCATTTAATCCTTACCCATTTATCTTCTCCAGTTTCTCTGAGCGGTCCATTTCTGGTCACTGAAAAACTCCGAAAAGTTTCTAGAATTTTTTTCTCTCTTAGACAAATTCCGGGATTCAAAAATGGGAGAGGTAAACCAGTGACCTTGATCATCTTCCGAGAATTGTTTCAGCTGAAAGAATTGAACGAACGATCACGACAAGTGGCTAGAAATGCTAGTGGAGGCAAGAAGGGCGAGCAAGACGGTGATGGACGCTATCCGGTACATCACAATAACCTTTTTTTGACTTCTTCGTCACATTAAGAAGTGGAACTAATTATCCTTTTTGACCGCTATAATTTAGCCAAAAGTACAAGTATTCTCCAAGTATGACCGACAAATCGATCGACGAAACTTCAAAGAAAGACGATCGGTTTATGAGAACGTAAGTGACAGCTTCTTTTGCCCCTTTCGGAACAGCTTGAGTGAAATTTACTGGGCATTCGAATAAAAAAAGGTGGAACTAAATCTCTGTGTTTAGAAGAACGCCTATCCCTGCTTCCCTGGCGTACCACCACCACCAGCCCTCTTCGAGAAGATATTCAAGAAATATGAGTATGAACTCAGAGAGGAAGAAGAGGTATGAACAATCAATCCAGCACAAAATAAAAATCAAGGTCGGGGACACGATTTCCACAGTAATCTGACTGTGGGTCCTGGTTTGAACGCGTGATTATTACGTAACACAAGCATAGGGGCTTTTAGATGAGCTTTTTTGATACGTCGAGATTGAAACGTTTGATTTGAAGTAAGGTAACATCGAAGAGAGAGATAAGTTGTCCGTGAGTTGTTGCGTCCTTTGCATTTTATTCAACGATAAGATCACTGTAGGAATCGGATTCCCGTCCTGAGTTTTGTGCTTTTCTACAAGTACTGGCAGCCAAGACTTGTTCTTTGTTGGGTGTCCCAAATTTTTGGTTTTCAGGCCGAAGAAGCAGAAGAGTACGAGGATTGAAGTCGTCCATATGAACCTAAAATGTTTTAAATTTAGCTATAAAATTTTCGTTACCCTTTGAAATGTATAAGTAGACATTAAAGGATCGTTTACGAGCTTTGGCAATCTGCTCAAATCAAAAAAAGGCTATGATGATGAGGCGAAGTGTCCCCATTAACCTATCGATGTCAATTCAATTACAGGAGGAATCTTCATACAAATAGCCCGTCCTTATAGTCAGCTGCGCAGAAAAATGTACCGCGCCTCAAACTCGTAACTGAACTTTAGTAATCTGAAGTTACTTCTGGCAATGAGATGAAAACCCAGAAAGACTTCACAATTTGTAGTGCTCGGCTCTTTACTGCAGTATTGGATTACTACAAGAACCTTAAGTACTTTCGGAGATACAATGCGTATAGATACTCGATTGAAGGAAAATGCTCAGGGCTCTTCTCAAGGTCGAATCCGTCATACTAAACGGGATTCCAGTGTACAGCACTTCTGATGAAGTTGATCAATGACTCCTTTCTCAAACTTTACAAGTGGATTAAAAAAATTTTTTTCTCAAAAAAATGTTACTGCACCTGATTAGTTATGAAAAACTTGATGAAAAACTAGTACATGACGATCAGTTTTGCCATGAAAAGTGATCAAGGCCAAAGAGGGAGGAACTTAAATTGAGCAGACAAGAGACACTTCTGATTCAAATGTCTATTGCTCGAAAACTGACCACTCGAGCGTCCTACTTACCGCAAAAACCCATCGACATAACGCCGAAATGTCAAACCTCGACCGGTACGACCTCATTCCACTATCCTCAACGGTTCATGTGTTCTTTTTCGTCACCATAATATCTTCTGCCTGTCGTCTGTCATTTCTTTCTACCTCTTACATGAATCCCACTGATTCAAGTTATGATATCATTTAAAAACCATTTAAAATACCACTACGGTCATTGAATTAAGAAATCCAGCAGTGAAATCTGAGAAATCCATTTCTATAACGGCTAGGGCGTAAGAGTTATGATTAAAGGCAAACGAACCATGCATTTCTTACAGACTACGAAAAAATCTTTCTTTCATTTGTCAAAGGGACCGGCCTCCACACGTGGTTTGCAAGTTAGTGGTCGCATGGGTATTGATCAAGAGATCCTATTCACTATTCTCTCTCACACGGGGATTCTCCTGATGAAGAAAGAAGGAAGAAAGGATGTCCTCCTGAAGGTGAGATTGTGGACTGGATCACCTTTCACAACAATTTTCAGCTCCACCAAGAAGGCCCAACGGCTGCGACAGTTTGCAAAGTTTTGGTGATGAAAATAACAGAACATCACTCAGGACCACTATCTTCACGTGCCATAATAAAACTGACGCATACGCTATTCAATCCAAAATTTAATGAAAAATGATTTTTGCTGTAGAATGCATTGGTGAAGCGGGCTACATCCATACTTAGCGATAGCGTCTGGCGTTTCCACATGCCCACCGCGCATTGAAGTCGAATATGGACATTGTCTCAGTAGCGGCAACCGAGGAAGCAACGAATTATCCGAGATGGAAGTTCCTCATGACTTAGCCAGCTAGGATAGCAAGCGCTTTCTCCTTTGCTTTGTAATTTGGCGAACGTAGGTGATCTATGATTACCAATTTGTTATGCGGCACGGTACCAGAAATAGACTGCATTCGCGGAACCCTGAGAAAACTGTCCATTCTGCCCATCAGTGCAATTATAATCAGGGAAGCATATCAAAACAGGTGTTTCGGTACTTTGGTTTCTTGCTTGTTTGTCAATTGTTTTTCTCATTAATTACCCACCAGTCAGCCTCTGAACAGCATACTCCAGCTTTCAACTTCCCTAGTTCCGGGAAGCTTATCCAAGAAGCCCTTTTTTGCCCATTTTTTCCAAAAAGAGAGAGAGATGTGCAATGACTGGAGGGCGGCCACGCAGTTTCGTGGCAACCCATTTACCCGAACGCTGGCGGCAACAGTTTGAATGCCCCGTCTGGCAGCAATCAATACGTATCCATAGCATTGCCAGGATATGTTGCTTTCTAGTTACCCTTGAATATGATACCTATAACTTTGGTACCTTAACTGCATTGGCTTGTTTTGGTCTTAATAGTGATCTATTTTCAGCAGCATGTTTATT